GCAGGACTTAGCAACTCAGAAGAGAGAGCATTTGCTAGAGTACTATGGCTCTATCAAAGGACATTTCATGTGCCAAGGTAGAGAAATGAGACTCCAGAACTGAGGGGATACACAGGGATCTCCATAAAGACAGTATCTAGAGATGGGAAGGTATTGCTAAAAGGGTTCTGATATGACAAAGAGGATGATGCTTGAGACCCTCTGATTCCTTGGGGTCGCTATCCCTCACACACAGACAAGCATACCTGATCCTTTCTGGATGTTTCCCTTCAGAACAGGAGCTTCTGAGGCCCTGGCCAGGGGAACAAAGAAGAGACCTAGAGTAATAAAGAAACTTAAGCAAGAATATCCTACAGCATCTTTGGGGTCAGCAATTAGAGGAACTCTCCCATCCCTGCAAAATGTATTTCCCTCTTTTGCCTGAGGTTTCTCTTGTACTAAGGGTCTAGTATAATCTGTTCTAAGTTTTTCCAGGTAATGGGGACTAGCAACCACGGCTGGTGGCTTTCTGGCAGTATGTCACTCATGTCTTTAGAACAGCCCTCACCCCAATATTATAAAAGAGAAACTATTCAGAGAAGAACTTAGAAATATATTCTGATGGTTTAAAAACTGAGTTAACACAGTTTAGTACTATGAAAGTGACATTTTCCAAGTTAGAGTTAAAAACTCCTTTTTGTGGAATATAATCTAACGAAAAGAGGAAAACAAAAAAGTATACAGGGAACGTGTCTGTTGACACAGATCACATTAATACACAACAATGAGGGGTAAGTAGAGCAAGGAAAAGTTATTATGAGGAGCTAGGCTCCCCCTAAACTCTTTGGAGTAAATCTTTCTAGTCTTGTAAGTAGAAGAACATAAAGACAAAGTAAGAGGAAAGAAGAACTTGTCCCTGGCATCATCATGAAGGAAAGAGAGTGAATCCAGGGCCAGGCAGGAGGAAAGGTACAATTTTTTGTACCATCCATTCCCATTGCCATTTCTGCATGATACACAGGGGCACCTGGGGCTGTGGTAAGGACTTGGGAAATAGGAGGAGGCTAAAATGAACAAGGAAAAGAAGGAAATACAAGTGTGTGTGGGGGGAGACCAAATGCAGCACAGGACACAAACAAGCATCAGTAGGACTGAGTATCAGGAGGGATGGCATCCCAAGGTGCTCTGCAGCAGCTCTCCAAAGACCTTAGTCTGGCCAAGCTGAACTCTCTGGTCTGGAGCACAGAAGTACAGACCTCACTCCTTGCCACCTTCCACTCCAAGAATTCCAAGGAAGATGGAAACTAGGAGGTCCCTTCCTTCAGAGTTACTTCACTATCTCTTAAAAACACTCCTGCCTGGATCTGGAGGCTAGCTCCTGGGGGCAAGAGAAGGGATGGCTCTAGTGTGACTTTCCACGACCCAGCTTGGGCTCTGCTTGCAGAGTGCTGAGAAACCCCAGTGAGACACCAGGTAAGGGGGTGCTATCCAGCTGGAGTGTAGAAAGGACTTCCCTTTGAACAGGCTGAGTCTGTCCTAGCTGACTGCTGGAACTGCCAGCAGGGCCAAGTAGGCCTTGCAACCTAGGTGGCGCTATTTCTCTACTTTTTAGGCCCAGATGCTGCAGGAACTTCCTAGAGGTCCCAAGTCCTTGCTCCTGGTTTGCTGGCTTGCTCCTGTAAACCACCTTATATTATTTTTTTTTCTAAAAATACTCCAAAGCAATTGAAAGAGTCCCTTCTCCCATCAGCCAGCCCTGGCCCCAGCCCCGGCCCCGGGGAGCGGGCGGGTAGGCGGGGAGGTGGGCCACTGCTTTATTAAACACAGGGAAAACTAATATTTACGGAATAAAATTTATGGAGCAGCCACGAGAATTCGACCCTTTTATGTGCATGGGGAGTGGGGGCTGGGCCAGGCTGGGGGCCTCAGGGAGGGGCCCAAGCCAGGGGGCAGGGCTGGAATACAGCCTGGCTAGGCCAATTTGTCAAAGCGGGATTTCCCTGGCATGAATGATTCTCAAATACCACCCTAACCGCCAGGTAAAGGCTTCAGGGCAGAGATGCCTGAGCCAGGGCCTCTGGCAGCAATGCTTTCCTAAAAAACGCATTTGGGCAATATCCCCAAAGCAGGAGCAATCTTTGGAATACAGGGTCAGTGAACAAGAAAGGTGACTAGGCATACTCTGAAAGAGTCACAGTCTTATGAGAACATGAACAAAGTTATGTCCTTGGGATTTTCCTGGCCATTTTAAGAGATTCATGATTGAGAATGCCTGCTTGAGGTTGCCGTTGGGTAGAAGGATTATTCAGGGTAACATACAGATTTTCACTTTGATGACAGTGGCTGTCACAGGGTACACCCTGGGGTGCTGTAGCCTGCAGGTAAAGAAAAGTGATTAGTAGTGGGAAAATGTGTCTTGGTGGTTCTCTCAGAAGTGGGCAGCAGAAAAGGCAGGGGCATAAATCCCAGAGTCTTCAGGGGCTCCTGCCTTGAAGAGCTTGTGAGGAGGAGAGCATCCTGCTACAAGACAGCAGGGTCCAGGATACAGGGCTGTAGAGGATGGGAAGTGGACCCAAAAGCCTTCCGGGAAATGCTTTTAGTCATGTATGTAATAATGTCGCAAAGAACTCAGCTGTCTGATACCCAGTCCTGGCTGTCACTTACTAGCAGCATTACCTTTAATAAGTCAATCACTTCAAGATCCAGTTTCCTATTGAGTTAATGGTGTCTTTAAATAGGGCTGTGAGGAGCTTATTAGACAGTCTACTTGGTACATGAACTGCTCAATAAATGTTAGCAATTTATTACTGTTATTCTAACTACTGTAATAATTAGTACTTTATCATGGCTTGTATGGTCCTCTCCCCATGGATTGACATCAGTGCAGAAACATGAGTCCCAGTGAGAGAGGAGACATGGATGAGGAGGCCCTCTGAAGCAAGCACACCAAAATGGCCTCCACGTTCTGCCCCTGGCTCTTCCTCTACCTGAGGGTTCCCAGTGAACAACTGAGTTCACTTTCACTACTATTACCCCAAAAGCAAGTTTCAGATGGTCTTACTATACAGGAAGACCTAGCAGAGACAGTAAAGGGGTTGTGCAAACAAACCTATGTGCCCAAGAGTGACCTTTGGACTGTTCCTGCCCCATGTAGCTTTTTTTGCTATTGAGACCTTTTGCTCTATAGCACAGGGTGTCTTCAAACTCAAGGCAACCCTCTTGTCTCAGTCATGCAAGTGCTGGAATTATAAGTGTAAGCCATCATGCTAAGCTTACACAGCCTTTATACTTCTTCCTGGTAGACACTATTAATTATACATGTCAATTCTGTTCTAAGGAACTTCTGGGGTCAGTTCCTGTTCCATGGAACAGTTCTACTTACTACATTATTTGAAGTGGAATGGAGAATAAGAAAGTCAAATTTGGGGGTGTAGCTCAGTTGGTAGCATGCTTGCCTAACGTATAGGAAGTTCTGGACTTAATCTCTAGCACACACACTTATGATTCCAGTACTTGGGCACAGGCAGGAGGATCAGAAGTTCAAGGTCATCCTCTTGTTCACAGTTCAAGGCCAATCTGGGTTACATGAGACCCTATCTCAAGAAAGGCAGAGTCAAATTCCTTTTCTTCCCACCCATGGGAACTGACTTCAGCCCAAATACCCAAAGCTACTTGTAATTTGCATCCAACACTATGGTTTAACCTGCTCTCTCTGCTTTAGGAGCAGAAAAAACCCACATCCAAGCTTGGCAGAGGAGGACAGTAATCAGTGTCTGGTGCCACCATAGAGAGGGCTCTCACAGGCAGTCTCTGAATGTGACTGAGCTCAGGCCACAGCAGAGAAGCAGAGGAGGAATCTGTAGGATGGGGCTGGTGGTTTAGACATTACCCAGAGACATCAATGGAACTGGAGAGGTGAACAGCTTAAAGATCACATATAGGTAATCTCAAAAGCATGAAGTGTGAAGGCTGGAGAGATGGTACAGTGGTTAAGAGCACTGACTGCTCTTGCAGAGGACCTGGGTTTAGTTCTCAGCACCCACATGGTGGCTATCAACTGTCCATAAACCCAGTTCTTGGGGATCCGATGCCCTTTTCTGACCTTTGCTGGCATTGCATGACATGGATACACTTACATGCAGGCAATATACTCATACACATAAAATAAAAATAATAAATAAAATATTTTTTAAAAAGATTA